GTTAGAAAGTGTTCGTGAGAATATTCTAACCAGAGCTGGGACTCCTAGCCTATCACAGACTTTCCAGCGCCTCCTGAATCTTAAAGATAAAGCAACACCGACACCTGTTCATATGCCAGCCACTTATTCAACTGCCTTTATTTCTCGTGCCAATGATTCCAATTGGAACAGTGGACACGATCACGGACGTGGTCGTGGACAGAGGCCTCGTTGCAACTATTGCCAGAACCTTGGACACATTGAAAAGCGTTGCTACAGGAAGTACCCTCACCTGAAGCCACCAACTGCCAACTTTACTCAGACCAATGTTGTGCCACGTATTACTGGATTAGTAACCATTTCAAGTGCAGATTATGAGGCTCTTCTTAAAAGGGTTTATTCCCAGACTCCTGCTCAATATACTGGTAATCATGTTGCTTGTTTTTCTCAATCATCACTTGGACCCTGGATAATAGACTCAGGTGCTACTGATCATCTCTGCGGTAATAAAGATCTTTTCACCTCACTTACTGATTCTAATAAGCTACCCTCTGTTATTATTGCTGACGGCACCAAGGCATCTGTTCGTGGTATTGGACAATCCAATCAAACTCCCTATTTGACCTTGACCTCTATTTATTATATACCTGACATTCCCTTTAATTTAATCTCTGTTAGCCAGTTGATTTATTTTCTTTCATGCAATGTTACCTTCTCTGACCAATCTATCTCTATGCAGGATCTGGGTACGGGGAAGATGATTGGAGCGGGTCGTGAGTCACAAGGTCTCTACTATTTGACCGCGCCTCATTCTCCAGTGGCGTGCTCTCTCACGGATTCTCCTGAACTAATCCACAATCGTTTGGGTCATTAAAGTCTCTCCAAGTTTCAACATATGGTTCTTTTTTTGTCTAGTCTTCAGTCTTTAAATTGTCAGTCTTGTCAACAAAAAAAGCACACTCGCTCTTCCTTTGCTAATAGAGTTAATAAAAGAGCTGATGCTCCATTTTCTATTGTTCATTATGATATTTGAAATTCAAGTTGAACTATGTCTGTTTTGAATTTTTAGTATTTTGTGACTTTTATTGATGATTTTTCTCGTTGTATTTGAGTTTATTTAATGAAAAATCTTTTTCAATTATTTTCTATCTATCGAAAAAAATCTATGCTGAGATTAATACTCAATTAAGTGCTTCTATTTGAGTTTTACACAGTGATAATGCAAAAGAGTATGTGTCTCTTGAATTTGCTGCTTTCTTAGAGAAACATGAGACGTTACACCAGACCGCCTCTCTTCACACTCCATAACAAAATGGAGTGGCCGAACGGAAAAATAGATATCTGGTTGAAACTACGCGTATCCTATGTTCCACTCCATTTTTGGGCAAATGCTATTATCACTTATTTTTTCTCATCAATCACATGTCGTCTTCGTGCTTAATAATTTTATCTCGTATAACATGAGAAACATTAATCCCTAAGTTATATTTAGATTCTTTTACTTTAAATATTTTAGAACCATTTTGTTACCGTTAAATTAAAATTAAATTTAAAGCTCTTATTTAATATTATTTTATAATTGTTGATTTAATGGTATGAAAAATAGTTATATAATTTTTTTAAGTATAATCCCCCCTTTTTACAACCATTTGATTTCTGTATATCTAACGATTGTGATTTATTAAATTTTAATAATTAATTAATGAGTGTGACCTAATAAAGCAGAATCGTTAGATTCACATAAGCTAATGGTCAAGATTAGATTTAGTGTAAGACTTCTTATTCTTACACTAATGTAAGTTGATCCTGCCCTTATATATAGAGAAAATAAGTTATAGGGATTAATATTTTTTATATTGTATGAGATAATTTTATCTCCTACACACACAAAAGTGCGTGAGACCGGAGGGGGGGCTTAGATGGGAAGTTGGTGATGGTAGGACTGTTTCCTTTTGGCAGGATAATTGGCTCACTTTGGCGCAGGCTCTTCGTGAGCTAGTCACATCTCCGAATCTGGATGTTAATGATGTCATGTGTGTTGCTGATATGGTTAACTCTAATGGAGATTGGAATTATGATTCTTTAGGCCTTTGGTTCCCGAGAGATGTCATTGATATTTTTCACGGGACATTAACTCCATGTGTAAATGATGGTCCTGACAGCAAGTATTGGGATCTTGATGGTGAGAACACCATAACAGTAAGGGCGATCTATAAGGCTCTTGTTGGCCAAGAGTTAATCTCGGGTTTGGCTGATGGTAGATGGCAGTGGGTGTGGGATTGGAATGGTCCTTAAAGAATCAAGTTGTTTATGTGGAAGGTTTGCCACAAAAAGCTCCTCACTCGAAGTAGGACTGCTCTTTGGGGGACTGGCACTGAATCGTGTCCTATTTGTAGGGAGGAGAGTGAAACCTTGTTACATGCGATTCGGGACTGTCATGAGGCTAAGTCCGTTTGGTCTCATTTTGTGCCTTCGGACAAGTTTGCAAACTTATTCTTTGGTGATGTTGATCATTGGTTATCGGTTAATATGGACATGGATAAGCATGGGATTACGAATGGTTGGAGGAATTTGATTTTTGTTATTTGTTGGAAAAATTGGAAATGGCGTAATGATTTGGTGCATGGCTCGACTTTTCCTTGCTTAAATGTGAGGAAATGGATTATTTGCAGCTCTGTGTGGGACATTAACAATGCTTTAGCTAGTGCTCAGGAGAGGCTTCCAGTAAAGTTTTCAATGAAGATGGACATTACTTGGCAATATCCAACAGACGGGTAAGTAAAAATTAACATAGATGGTGCAGCTAGAGGTAATCCTGGCGTAGCTGCTTGTGGGGGTTTGATTCGTAATTCTCAAGGGAGATGGCTGGGGGGTTTTGCTTACAAATTGGGGGTTTGCTCTTCTTTTAAGGCTGAGCTCTGGGGTGTTCTTCATGGTTTAGAGCTAGCTTGGAACGAAGGATTTCGTAATATAATCATTGGGAGTGATTCATCTAGTGTGATCACTGTGCTCACCAAGTCTGGTGTAGCAGTCCGTGAGTGTCATCTAATTGCTCGTATACGGACATGGATCAATAGGAGTTGGTCAGTTACTTTGATGCATACTTATAGAGAAGGAAACGTCTGTGCTGATTGGTTGACGAATTTTATTCTGGATTCGGATGATTCCATTACTTATCAGTTTTGGAGGGATCCTCCTCCTCGCATTCTTCATCTTCTCCGTGGTAACTTTACTGGTGTCAGTAGGTCCAGGGAAGTGAGGTGTAGGATTTAGTTTTGGTTTTGGTTGTCTTTGTTGTTCTTTTGGCTTAGGCCTTCTGTTTACCAAAAAAAAAAAAAAAAGTGCGTGAGACCCATGTGAAGAGAAAATAGAGAAAAAAAACATGGATCCCATATAATTTTATGTGTGTATGAAATAATTTTATTTTCTATAACATGAAAAACATTAATCCCTAAGTTATATTTAGTTTTTTTTACTTACAAATATTTTATAACCATTTTATTATCGTTAAATTAAAATTAAATTAAAAAATCTTATTTAATATTATTTATAATTATTGATTTAATGGTAGGAAAAATATTTATATAAAAAAATCAAGTATAATCCCCCTTTCTTATATATATATATATATATTAAAAATTATTTTTTAAACAATAATAAATGGGAAAGGATATTGTAACAACCAACTAGTGTTACTACCAATTAATTTCATCATTAGATCGATTATATTGATCCAACGGTTGTATTTATTTCCATCTTTGTATGGTTATTATTTCCCAAATTTAATACTTTATATTTATTTTCATCTTTGTATGGTTATGATTTCTCATATTATTACATATGGGGAATCATAACTATACAAAGATAGAAATAAATATAACCGTTGGATCAATATAATCGATCTAACGGTGAAATTGATTGGTAGTAACACTAGTTGGTTGTTTCAATATCCTATCCTATAATAAATTGAGATGAATTTAAATTTAAAAGAAGAAAATTTAATAATAATAATAAAAAATTATTTTTCAAGAAATAATAGATAGAGAAAATAAATAACTCTAAAAAAATAAATTCTAATTTAACATAAAGATAGATTCTTTCCATTTCAATTATTTTGCTTACCGATCAACTCATCAAAGTATTAAATTTTCAAGTAAATTGAGTGAATGGTATGGTTTGAATTTTTTAAAATATAATAATGTAAATAGTTGAAATGATAATATTACAAGAAAATATTTTTTTAAGAGTGATAATATGTGAAATAAAATAAATTTTTTTTTATAAACATGTGTTTAATGCAGTAAAAAAACTTGAAAATAAGAATAAAAGAGTATTTCTTTATTTTTTTAAGCGAGTATTTCATTTTTAAAAGTAATAAAAATATACGGTAATTAATAAAACACATTTTCAGATATATTTTTTATTGTTTAATTAATTTTACTATTATGGGAATATCCTTAAATTATTAATTTTTTTTTGGTAGTTTAGACGGCAGACGTCCATCCTTAAATTATTCAGAGTCGGTATTTGTTTAATGAAATTTATGTAAAATTTACTCAATAATATATTAAAAAGAGGTGGACATTGTACTAAAAAGAAAGAAAGAGCGTGCACAATAAAATATTGATATCGTGTTATTGCAAGAGAATGTTTGGTAGTGAGAATGTTTTGAGATTTTCTAAAAAGTGATGATGATAATTCTCTTTATATCTATATTTGATATAATGTTTTCAAAATTTTTTGTTAAAAATCTGATTTTTTCGTGATTTTATTTTGTGTATAATTTTTTTTTCAAAATACTATCTAAAAATATCACAAGGGTGCTATTTTTAAAATTCTATATGTTGAAAAAAATTTATATAGTTTTTGGAACAGTATTAAAATAACTTTAGCACCGTGTTTATGAAAATCATGATTTCGTGGCAAAATTTTTTTTATCCTCAAACAAAGGCACCCAAATGTTTCCACGTTGACTCTTAATTAATTAATTATTTATTGTTGCATCATATGAGGCTATGAGCATTGCATTCAAATGTTTCCACGTTGGACTGTTCGAACTCTCTCACACTCTGTTTTGCTGTCTCCTTGTTCCAGTTCCAGGTACCTTCCCTTCCAATTATTGCTTTGCAGATGCGCATTTCTGTTACATGTTCGATGCTACAGGATATGCGAATTCCATTTATCCTAAATTTTCTTCGATGAGATTTTCGGCTATTTCCATCCCCTAATTTTATACATTATTAAAGAAGTTTCATTCTCACAAATTTGTCTTCCAGGACAAGGTTTAGTGCAAAGTGTTTGAATAAGGACATGGGTGTGGACAATAATTTGCATGCCAAGGCCAGAAGGCGTGCTAATTTTCGATTATGCAATGTGTCAAGGTATGTAATCTCGACTTTGAATCTGATGACAATTTTTATTTTTATTTTTAAATTTAAGTGTCTTTTTTTTATATTTTTTTTTAGTTATACCTCTGAAATATTGGAGATTCAAGCTGATGCTCCAAGTCTGCATGTTGTTTTTGTTCCTGGAAACCCAGGTGTGGCTTAGATTGTTTGTTAGCGTGCTTATGTTTCCATGTTATGTTTTTTTTTAGTTGTGGCTTTTGGTATCTTTGTTTACTGCAGGTGTTGTTTTATTCTACAAGGACTTTGTGGAGTTTCTATATGAGCAGCTTGGGGGAACTGCTTCTGTCACAGGCAAGTGATGGCAGCTCTTTCTTTATGGTTGGTTACTTTTAATAGGGAACACTGATTCACAAATATGCTTACTAGTCATGTTTCTCTTTGACCTATCAGCTATTGGCCATGTCTCTCAATCAAAAAAGGTAAGTTCATTTTTGTTCTGTTTGGTTTGCCGGGATGGGGATAACATGTCTCTTACAGAGTTTTGTTGCTAGGACTGGGAGCATGGACGGTTGTTCACTTTACAAGAACAAATCGATCATAAGGTAATTCAATGCTTACTATTTTGATCTTCACAGATCATTGGGTGGTTCTAGTGTAAGATAGATTGACAAATGGTTTGTTTCGATTGTCATTTACAAGTTGGGGATACTTGCCAAGCTGTGTCCCTCCTTTTGATGTCAACTACAAAAAATTGAATAAATTAAGGAATCAGAATTACTTGAAGTCTTTCATTCTTTGAACTTCTAGTTTATCTATGTTTTGTTGGATGGTGTGGTAACGGTGGCAAGTTGAGTTTTTAAACTTTCAATTCGTATTGTGGTGTAGGCAACTGTTGACCAGAAACAAGAATTATGATCCTAGAGTTATTTCTCCTACTATGTCACAGGCAGTACCACTTTTGGATTAGCATGTTGAGATTTCCTAATGTTCAAAACACATGCATTCCTTTCTTTGTTTTTTAGTTTAAATTTTTCATCCATTTCATTAATTTCCATGCTTTTATGCTTGACATTCTTTGTCCATTCTTGATTTAGATAGATTTACTTTAACAGTGTATTGATGTATAATTATAGTCTTCACTTTCCTTGTGTGTTTGTAGATTGATTTCATCAGAGAGGAACTGCAAAATATTGAGATTCCTATATTACTGGTGGGTTCTTTTATTTCTGCACCTCCAATATTCCTCTCCAGTGTCATGTTTATTTGCAGAGTTGTATGAGCTAAAACATCAAATTGCTACACACTGATCAATATTCCTTATTCTCTGGAAAATGGTAGTCATGTAATAGTACAAGATGCAAACTTTTCCTCCTTGGTTAATGATGGTTGTTAGAGAATAGTATAAACCATTAAAAAGCCTTCACCCACTAGCTTATGCTTTTGGGTTGAATTGGTTCTTTACATGGTATCAGAGGCTCGTGTCCCAAGTTGGATACTCACCGCCCCTCCACTTTCTCTTGTGAAATTTTCTTAACACCGGTAGGTGGGCCTGTGTATTGTCCACCTTTCAAGCTCAGTGGGCTCTCGTGTAAGGGGGCGTGTTAGAGAATAGTATAAACCATTAAAAAATATTCACCCACTAGTTTAAGCTTTTGGGTTGAATTGGTTCTTTACAATGGTGTTTAGACATCTAAAAGTTTGGTGCAAATAACTTCATTTCTTTTGTATTCACCTGCAACATTATATGCACTGCAATGCAGTACACGTTAGAGCAAGTATGTTGACATCTTTTCACACGGAGGTTTTTCAGTTGAGTGTGTTATGCAAGGAGTGGCAGTTAATGTGCAACTTAAAGTAGACAAAGGAGGAGTATTTGGAGTTTCTGATGTGCATGGAGAAATTGATTTAATAGATTGCTGTTAAAGAAAATACATGAAATTATAGTCTGGAGTACTAGTATCATATATCAGGATATCTGGATGCCATTTCTTGCCATCGTCATGACTTTAATCAGGACGATGATTAAATATTGGATGACGTTAGAGATACTAAGTTCAATAATTGTTTGAATGTGTCAGCAAACATCCTTTTATCCTCTAAAAAAAATATTAGATGATTATAGATGAATCAATTAAGTGGGCGAACCTGGAGCAGTGGTAAAGTTGTTTCTTTAGGTCACAGGTTCGAATCCGGAAAATAACCTCTTTGCAATTATGCAAGGGTAAGGCTGCATACATAGCCTCACCCCACCCTCGCTAGTTGGAGTTTAATGGGGAGTGGATTTGATTTTTATAAAAGAATCAATTCAATCTGGATCTTAGCTAAAGTTATTTGCAAGCAGTTTTTGTCTGTGTTTTCGTAACATATATAGCTATTGATTTGGGAAACCAGAAACCATATTGCAAGAAGGTTTAATTAAATTCTTTTACTAAAGATCATGTTATCCAAAAGTTGTGTTGCATATAGAAAAGTTTAATTTCATTAACATGATATGGAATTGTGGTAGCTAATCTAGGATTTTCTCACTAGGTTGGGCACTCTATTGGTTCATACATAGCTATTGAAATGTTCAAGAAGTCTACGGAGAAGGTAATTGGAACTTTGCATATTTAATTAAGGACAAACACATCATGCCACCTGTTCATTACTTCTGATCTTCGTAAATTGTCTGTTTGCATTTCTCCTGGGCACTGTAGGTGAAATATTGTGTTGGCCTTTATCCATTTTTGACATTAAACCCACACTCAGCAACACAGTCAGTTATTGGAAAAATTGCAAAGTAAGTCTCACCCCTCCTCCCAAAGTCAAACCCCTTTGACATGGTTCAAACTCTAATCATTAACTCGTGGGATTCGATTTTCACTTAAAACAATCTTTATAATTTGATCTGATCCTAAATTTGGGTTAAATAAAAAATGGTAATTTTCTATCTATTATTGTTAAATATTCAGCGTCAAAGCTAATTAATGATAATTTTCAATTGAAAATCTTAATGAGTATTTGAAGATTGAAATGACTAATGGTACATGGGGTTTCAGATCCCAAATTCTTTCTTCTGCTCTTAGTTACCTGACAGCATCATTAGGACTGTTGCCTGCCCTGGCTTTAAATTTTATTGTCAGAAAATCCCTTGGGAAGTCATGGTCAGCCAATGCAGTTGAGGCTGCATGCTCTCACTTGTCACAGGTTAGCTTTACTGTTGAAAGAGGGGCTTCAATGTTCGCATTAAACTTGTATACAATTTTTTTTTGTCTTTCTTATTATTGATCCCTATATTTATATTTTGGAGACTAATAGAAAAATATGCACGTTTTATTGATACTGATTTATAGCTTTTTACTGTGTGGTTACATCTGCATCTTTTTTGTATTAACTCTCTTAACTTTTATAACTCACAGTACCATACGATGCGAAATGTCCTCTATATGGCCATGACTGAATTTCGAATGGTAACATTGCTTCCTTTCTTTGAGTATACCTTTCAAATTTTATAAATTATAATTAAACCGTTTACCTTCTTTTTACTATTTAGAACTATTTTTATTTACATATGACATTATTTTATGAATTGGTGTCTGCCAGAACACAATGGCATCATATGATTCATGTAGCCGACCCACCTAGTGGGAAAAGGCTTTAGTTGCTATTGTTATATATGACATTACTTTAGATTCTTGTTACCTAGTTGATAAGTATTAGTCATTTTTTCTTAACAGCTTAAAAATTGATTTGCATTGTCATTCTTAAGAGTTTAAATACAAATTTATCATCCGATCTCCCCCAAATTCTGAAAAACACTTTTACCACTTTCAACAGACTCAAACATTCTTGTATTAATGTGGATGAATATGACATGTCACAGAAAGGTTCAGGGATACACCAATTTCTTGATAAAATGTAAGTTGAAACTGACAATTTAAAAAGATCAAGAAAATCAACTGGGGGCAAGGGCATGTTTCTTCAAAATCGGAGGGGGTAAAAAGATCCACAAATTCTCAATTTCAAATTCAGTGATATGCTCAAAGTTCATTACTGAAGTTTATGAGTAGGATGTTAATATTCTTAGCTGCTTGGTCTGATTAATCTCTAACTTGTACATTCCCCTGTCCTCTAGAGGAGCGAGATCCCCCTTCAATTTTTTTTTTCTTTTTTTGGATTTCTTCATGTTTTGTTGTAGCTATTTTATGAGGATGCGGACCCTCTACTCAACCTTCTTTTATACTGGGATACCAAGCATGCACTTCCTATTTCAAAGTTTGGATAAAATTTTAGTATTGTTTATATTATACAATGTTAAACTACATTGACAATCATGTGCTTACCAGATCATTCTGTGTTAGTTGTCAGAGACTCCAGATTGGGCATTTATAAGGGAAAGGAAGGCTCAATTTGCATTTTTATTCGGTGTTGACGATCACTGGGGCCCACTTCAATTGCTTGAAGAGGTAACATTATTTATTTTAATTACTTTTTTTATCATCTAGAAAGCTTTTGCATCATATTAAGGAATGAAACAAAGAAGATTTGTACCTTAAGAATCCATGTCTAATAGTTCCTCCTTTGGAATGCATGTGTAGGATGTGTTTGAGTTTGTATGTGATATTTGTGGTCCCAAAAATGATGCAATGGAAAGGTTAAATGGATATTCGAAGTTTATTATCAATGTTGACTGTTGAGTGCCCTTCTTTAACATAAATTATGGGAAAGAATTGGGTTAATGTTTTTGTAATAAAGGCAAACATTGCTAGCCATGATCACGGTTCTTCTGTTTCTTTGATAAACTTCCCTGGTAGTTCTCTTTGTTCTTAAGTTTTCTTCCTCATTACGCAGTGTTGAATGATTATTGTGGCTTAATTTATAGTTTCTTCTGGTCACAGATTTCAGACCAGGTTCCAGGTATAGCCACATCCATTGAACGAGAAAACCACACTCATGGTTTCTGTTGCACTGAGGCTGGCTCATTATGGGTGGCTCAGCATGTGGCAAACTTAATCAAGAATCGGACGGCTTGTACAAACCAATGATGTCTGACTCTTGCTATTGGCTTTGTGTTATGTGTTTTTTCTAAGTTATTCACAGAACGGATTGAACCACTGATAAATTTGAAACAATGATAGCTAAAAGTGCATTTGTTCTGATTTTTTTTTTTTTTTTTTTTTTTTTTTTTTTTTACAGTTTTATCATAGCCACGTCTTAAATAAGCTAGTTCAGGATGAACTGCACCTATGTAAATGTTTATTCTTCTCCCCTTGGCTAGTTTTGCCGTACAGGTTTAGTCCCCGTTTGGACGAGCTTTTACCTCTAATTTTTTTTTTTTAAAAATAAAAATCCTTTTGAGAATTTTTAGATGTTTGGATAAGAATTTAAAAAAAAAAACAAAATTTAAAATAAAAGTTAAAATGTTGCTTTTTTTTATAGGCAGTAGTTAGTTGTTTTTGAGAAAAACAGAAATTAAAAGATAATATAATTTTTTTTTTTAGAAAAAATATAATATAAATTTTTAAAATACAATTTTAATCTTATCTTATCGTACTTATTTTATCTTTTCTTATTTCACGATTATGTTATTTTATCTCTTTTTTATTGTAATTTTATATATAAAAGTACTTTTTTTTATTTTAACATCCAAACAACTTTTTTATGTAAAAGTGATTTTCAGATCATACATCCAAACGTAAATTAACTTTACCTTTTTAAAAAATTATATTAAAAAAAATAATGCATAAAAAGTTATTTTTTTAAAACTTATCTAAACGAGTCCTTAATCTTACGCATCCAAATCCGTTCCCGTTCACCTTTTGTCGACCAGCCAATTCCGCTCAATTTTTTTTTAATATACTCCAGGAGAGTCCATTTGGCCCCACAATATAGCCCAAATGCAGTCTCCTGCTTTTCTACATGTATTTAGGGCTAGCCTTGACAAAATCTTAAAATTCATTCAATAATTCATATAAATTAAAGATGTGTTGGATAAGTATTAAACTGGTAAAGATTAATTTATTTTGCAAAAATAAAAAAATAAAAAACCGTAAATTATTACTTTATATAATAAAGATTGACTTTATTAGTAGATTACTTAGGCATTATACTTATTTATATTACGAATTTAGGTTTAGGTAAATTGATTCCAAACCTATCCTCAGCTTGTTCCCGGGCGAGGTGGCGCAAGTTGGTACTCGTGAGTTGGGATTGGTTTGCCAAGTCTGCCCTATACTACCTTACAAACCGTACCCGATGTAATGCTTTAAAGTTAAAGAATAGAAGAGACTTCTATTTCATTAGTTAGATAAGTAACCAGCCTCTATGTTTTAGTGGAAGAATAGTCAGGACCCGAGCTAGGTAAGTATAGGGCTAGGAAGACGAGAAAGATTATATTTATAAACTCTTACAAACTACATTAAGTATGACCGGTCATACTTTAATCAAGAATATATGACCGATCATACTTACTGTAATTTGTAAAATTGTAAACGGATTATTTTTTCGATAAACACAACACTTTAGGCTTTAGCTTTATTTATAAATACTATTATTTGACACCACGTATTGTCAGAATTTTTTTCTTGTAGGCTCTTGTTTACATAGATATATTTTGAATCCAAATTCCTTTGGAATATATGCTTAGTATATTTTAACACAAAAAAACTAATTTGATAGTATTAATTATAATAATGACGAAGACAACATCAATGACAAAGGTAAAATCGGTGATGAGGATAAGCAAAATCGCCATAGCCAATGGGAAAGCTTAATCCAATAAGAGTGAAATCGAGTTTACCAAAATTCACAATTAATTATTGTTCAATTAAATGTCAGTTGTTCCCTATGACTATGAGTGTAGTTTATTCAAAAGTGTAACCTCCGAGAAATTGTTGTTGCTTTGTTCCTCCAAGATTTCAAGTTTGAAACAAGCCTCCAATCAGTCGCGGAGCCAGAATTTAATTTTAGTCGGGGTCAAAAAATTTAACATATCAAATTATCAAAAAAAAATCATAATTACACAAATCTATTAGAAAATAATTTTACTTAAAATTGTCAAAGTAATAGGATTGATGTTATTTTAACAAATAATAGTTATTTATTTAAAATTTAGAATATAATATAAAATAAAATTAGTAAAGAAAATACAAATTATATATACATATATAAAATTTTCATGTGATCTTTGATAACATTATTTCATGTGATATTAATGAAAATTGATTTCATGTGGTCTTTGTGAATAAATTTTTTTTATTTTAATTTGATTTGGACCTACAAACTTTAGTTTGCAACTTGGTAGGCCTTACAAGTCGTATTCGGTTTTTTTTAGTTTTTTATAATATGACAAGCCATAAATCAAGTATTTAATAGGCTAATAGGTCAGTATAGGTTCCAAATATTTTACACAGGCTTAGGCTATCAAAGTCAAAGTTTGACTTAACTTGGCCTATTTATACCCCTAGCCGTGACATGGCTGTGAAGAACATTAACAATTAAAAGAAACATCGAATAATCAACGACAAATATCTAAAATCATTTAAATGACATTGGATCCACATAAATCATTTAATTAGTGTTTAGATATTTTAAAAATTTTAAAAATACAAAAGAAGAAGAAGTTGTTAATGGATATGTATAAGAAATTTTCATACTCCATATGTATACATATATCTTCATTGATTTTTCTCTTTAACAGTTTCCACTAATTAATAACCAAAATTCACATTCTTGTTGTGAAATAAAATACAAATAACACCAATAAACAATCCAATTCCATTACCCCAATAGCAACGTAGCTCTACATTAAAATAATTTTTTTTTAAAAGGTAAGCGTAAAACAACACTACATTTTTTCAAAAGAAATAAAATCAATAACTACAACCAAAAAAAAAAGTTGTTAATAAAATAAAGGGGGCGTGAATTTCACTCATGTTAGAAACACTCAATAGGTCAACTAATCATTTTTGTGATTAAGTTTAGAAGTCTTTCTTTTTTAAAATAATAGGAGTAAGAATAAACAACATAACTGATTAGAATAAAGCAGAAAAAAAAAATATACAAGATAAAAAATAAAAAAGGTAAAACACAAAAATAACCATACTATACATGTTCCTTATTATTTGTTTGCATTTAGATAGTTTGTTGTTGCTTTGTGTTGAGTATTTGATTTTTTATTTAGGTGGTGCTAAATTATAATTTTTACCTTAGTTAATTATAATTCATTATATAATAAGTAAAAAAAAAAAACAACAGGTGCCTCTTGGATGTGGCTACGTCACTGCCTCCAATCCATGGTAGTTAAAATCCCGATTTAAATCTTAGATTTTATGATTTTATGATTTTTTATCCTCCTTCTGATTTTAGGTAAAATCCTGATTTTATCTACCATGCTCCAATCGTAACAAGTTAGGTTGGTGATTAGTGATTTGTTTTTGTTTGGACTTGCTTGCACAAGATATGGCCTCTAACATTGAAATTGGAATATTTTGAAACTATCATGTATATATGGCACTAGAAATTGAAGTTGGAATATTTTGAAACTATCATGTATATATGGCACTGGAAATTGAAATTGCCAAACCTGATGAAGAAAGGTTGCATGCACGTCGAATATTCATAACGAAAACACAACTTGGAATATTTAAGTGTGAAGCGAATGAGGAGAAGGTGACCCAAACAACACACAGCCTTTGTTTTCTTATTCAAGTTTGATGGTCTCCCACAAAGCAAATTAGCAACTATACGCTTTCACAACGCATACTAATTTGTGACAAAAAATATATAAAAGAAACAAAGGAAGTTAAAACCAGAAAACATGTCTTTATAATTAAGAGTTGACAACGGAACACTTCCTCCTAATTTCCCCAGCCGAGCCTGAGAGTACCTCAATGGCTCCCATCCTCTTCATTGACTGCGCAAACTCTGTGAAGAACTTGTTTTGTTTAACCAATTCTTTAACAATGTTTTTGGATTCCTTGGTTGTTAAAAGGGCAGCATCTGATTGGAACAGACCCTTATTCTGGAGAAGGATAGAATAATAATCACTGTCAAAGTTTTCAGAGCTATTAGGATCCATATCTACTGCTGTGGTTGTGTCACTGAGACCCTGGCATTTAGTCTTCAAGAAAGCTGCATAAGTTGGATTCAAAGAAGGATCTTGATCACCTTTTCCGGTGAAGTTGAAAAGCCTGTTACTGAACAAGTTGCAATGGCCTATTCCAATTGTGTGTCCTCCTATATGTATAGCCAATATATATATATAGGTTAACAAATTTGTTTTAATTGCTGATTGTAATAATATTTGAGTAATTCCTTGTTTGCAATTAGTATTTATCAATAATATCATGTATGTGAAACATGAGTTCATAACTTTTTTTTTTTTTTTAATGTACCTGATAATACAACAAGGTCGTGCACTGTAAGCTTTTTATTAGCGAAGCTTTGTTTGAGTTGGGTGAAATTGAAGAAAGGTGCTGGAATATTGGCTAAGACATCACCAATTAAGGATACTGTGCCATCTCTTCTACCGGTGAGCACTTCCCACATAGGTTTGTTAAACTGCAAATATTATCGATATATGCATAAACCAAGATTTTATATATATATATGTGTATGTCAAACTTAAAACAAAACACATGTAAATTCTGCAGTGATATGAACAAAATTTGCTGTATAATCTGCAGGCATATATTACTTAGAAGAATATAATGGTTAACATACTTGGACAGAAACAGCATCCCTAGCTGCCAATGCTACTATATCAGCACAAGATACAACTCCGGGACATTTTGCCTCCACTGCTTCTTTTATGTCATCTATGACATCAAAGCCAGACAAACTTAAATTAGGAATGGCATCCTTCTCCGCTTGGTTATTGGAAGTGGAGTTCAACAAAACCGAGCCATCACAACCCTGAAATATTGTTTGCAACCATGCCACTTACTTATTATGTAGCTCCAAAACAAGTTGCATTGGTAATTTGCATTATTGTAATTAAATTTGAAATGCAAGTGTAAAAATTTATATACCACAAACGGAGAATGTACAAAAATATTCATAAAGATGTAGGAATGTTTACCCTGACAAAACAGTCATGAAAATGCATTCTGATCAACTTGGCTGGCAACTCGGGCCTTGTAGATACATGCTGTTGGATTTTGGTCTGAACAATCTGTTCAGCTTGAGGACAGGTTTTCCGGTAGAAATTCTTCCTTAGGCTTCCTCCTTGAGAATCCCCAAGGAGACAAAACACTACCAAACAAGCCACATGGAAAAATGTTATCTTCATGTTTAAACTCTTTGCCTCACTTACTCTGCAGTAGTCTTAACTAGAGATTGGAATGCTTAGCTACAATGCGGTTGCTCCCTTTTATAGGCATTCCATGTCATTTTTCTAAAGCAAAACATGTTAAGCATTACATACTATATATTAAATGGTGTGAGAGATTAATTTGAAAATAACTTGCCCTTATACCAGGTTCAACCATATATTATTAATAGCAAATTGCACGCGCGGATTGTATTTATCTAGTTGCATTAAGATAATCACCTAGAAAGAGAGGATATAATATAGAAATACAATGTAATATTAAAGTAATTAAATTTTAAAAACTCTTTTCCTGTTTGTTAATGGAACTCTTTTAAGAAAGTCAGTTTGCTGAAATGAGTTGAATATGTAGCTCAATGCTATTGTGGTTAGAATATATGCCAGCACTCTGCACTTATGTTCTTCACTGTCATAGGCTTCGCAGGTCAACCCTCTTTCAGCTTTCTTTTTTAGTTTGACCGAGTATACCACCTCTACCAGCTGGTTGATGATGAATTCGTGTGGTTTATTAGTAAAATTTACATGTTAGTGTCCCTAGGGATGCAAATGTGGAATCTTAAGAACGTAAGAAATTATGGGTCACTCCTCTAAGCATTACCAAACATTTGGACATTACACTGCGATGTGTGAGATACATATCTCCCTTTGGAATTCAAGTGTGAGTACTACATTGATTAGAAATGGATTAAATGAACGTAATATAAGAATCCATAAATTTAATATTTTAAGATTTTTGGTTGAGATATAATGTTTGAGCCCATATTACTAATATACAATTGTTACCTTGCCAGAAAATTGGTGCAAAACATTATTGTAAAAACAATAATATGGGGAACTAATTTCTAAACCTTCATCTCACAGGATGTACATACATTCATAACTTCTGTTTTTGATGGTAGTGCAAATATTTGTATTGTAGGATAACAATGAACAACACAAATATACATAGAACAAAATATAATCTTAGAAAACTAGAAAGTGAAAAAATTAGAGGAAATCAAACCCGAACCCAATATTATATATTGTATTCTTAAGTAATTTTGCCCCCTCAACAGTGTATAAGGTTGGTGGACAAATATCTCCCAAGATGTAACGGATTATCATTATTACCATTGTTTCAACAGTGGTACAATTAGAAGAAATAACAACACAAACACAAAAGGTTGGTGGAGAAATGCCTTCCAGAATGGAATGAGTTACTATTATTTCGACGGTGGTACAATTAGAAAAAACAACAACGTGAACACAACAAATGTTTTATCAATCGCAGAGAAAGACAAAAAATGAGAATTAACTTTGACATAGTTCCGGTAAGAAGTCAGGAAACAAAACGATTTGTGTTTACTGGTATATATAAAGGGTTATATACTTCTTCTGTCACTGCAGATGGGAAAAAGTGTACCAACACTTATTTTCATCAGGATACGCGTCCGGATTCTGATGTGTTTTTTTTTTTTAGGTCAGGATACGACCGTGTATCCTAGTATTAATAATTTGCTGCAACTTTTCTCATCAGCAGTGAAAGGAGAAGCGACGAACCCATATATAAAACATGAATGGTCAGCGGTAACACAACGAAAAGGCGCGATTGTTCCAACTTATTCATAATCACTTATACAGCAACTTCATGTCAAATAGACAGCTGTAGTCATGAAAACTACAAATTGCTATATTTAAATTTGACAAATAATTAAAATGCAGGCTAAAACATTACTAGATTCTTGTTTAATATGTGAAGCGGCAATAATTAAAAATTGTCCAGTAATGATTACGAATTCGATGTTAGAAGATATTCAAATATGATATAAGTTAGGTAACAGTATATAATATTCTGGTTGTTATCGTGAACGAAGGTCAGCGACTGAAGTATTGCAAGGCAGTGACGAAGGATTTAGAAAAATTCAGTAACCGGGTCAACCTTATGTATGTCAAAAGGCATCACAACATCTGATTTATTGTAAAATTGGGCTACCAAGTTTGTCGCATATATATAGCTAGTTCCACGGCACATGTGGTGTCTCAATATAATAGACTAATGATACAGCCACAGTTTCCTTTTCTCAACAAACTCTTAATTATCACTTACTCCAGCACTATTATATAGTATTCATATTTGTGTAAAAATTATCATAACATTTTCTGACCTTATAGTTTCACTTCACATATTAATCCAATGCCTTCAACAATGTGAGACGGTACTCCTTTATAGCCACAACATTCCTTAAATATATATGCAAGATACTCTGAATTTCTTCAGCATGGCTCCTACTTATGTAGATGCCTTATATTGTTTTGGCCTCGGGTGTCTTTATAATTTATTTTCTTAGTAGTTTAGACGTGTGTGCATAAAAATTGTGCCTTAAAATTTTTCTAGGCCTATTTAAATTATTTATTTGTAATAATATTTATATGATTTTTTTTTTAACTTTATATACACATTTTAAATGAAAAAAATGTCATTTGCACCAAAAAATTGTCATGATATTTATTCTGATATGCTAAATAAATTGTTTCAGCATATGAAAAATATTTATAATTGTTATTCGTTATTTTTTATTTTATTAAATAATTTTTGAACTAAATCTTAATTACATTTTCACAATTTTTTCTTATTAAAGACATAATATACTAACCAAAATCTTTATATACTATGATTCCTGAGAATTTTAATACATCTTATGTGAATATGTAAGATAAAAATAAAATAAAAACATATCATCAGCAATATATATATATAGAGGGAGAGATTATACTTACAACCTATTTTCCTTTACAACCTCTTACAATCAATATCTTAACCGTTGATTTTCGTCAATCAACGGTTAAGATTTATTGTGAATTAATAATTATTTAATAAATTTTATTTGCAAAAATCTTAACCGTTGATTGACGGAAATCAACAGTTAAGATATTGGTTGTAAGAATAACCTTCCTCATATATATATATATATATATATATATATATATATATATATATATATATATATAGTCTTTCTTTTCTCATGTCACATGAGATAACATCTCTCATGCTATAGACACAACAAGTGATAGGTCCCACTACTTATTAAAAAAATTAAAATTAAAAAAAAGATAGCACGAATTTTGATATCTCACAACATGAGAAAGCAATCTCCAACAACATAAGAAAATAATTTCCCATATATATACACACACTTTTTTGGTTGAAAGGAAATTCCACTGCCGAGTTGGGTCTTCAAAAAATTCACTTGGAGCCGAAGAAAGGACCATAGGGGATGAGAAAGGAATAGAATAGAACAGAATGCACTGCAATATTAAAAGTCACATTATCACATATCTAACCGCTATACCAATAAAGTCTTCCCATGATGTTCACCAAAAAAAAAAAAGTCGTCTCATGATGACTTATTTAAACATTTTGACCATTAGAATTTGCAAAGTCAAAATCAAAATAAATTTATAAATATGTTAAAAAATAGCTTTTTTAGGATATTTTATTAATATATATTTTCATAATGATATATAATCTTGTTTAAATTTATTTAAGAACACTTTTTGACTATTTTAAAAAATAAAAAACATAAAAGGTTAGAAAAAGATGAAAATTCAAAAAATATATAAATAAAAGAAATAAAAAGTAATTTTCATTAAAAATAATAATAAAAAATAAAGGTTAAAATGTAACAAATTGTTATGTGGTAATAATAAAAATAAAAATAAATTATTATATATAGGTTGAGTTCTTTCTCTTCAGATAACCTCTTATTGTACTCTATTTTTTCTTACTCAAATTATTAATTACTTTCAAATTTTTTACAATAAAATTTTGTCTTTCTTCCCAAATCTCAGCCGCTTAAATTCTCAAACAATTACTTTAATTTTTTGTATTTGAATTTCTTTTTTCTTTAATTTCAATTACTTATATTTTCAAATTAATTTGTTTTATTTTATTTTTATATCAATATTTGTTCTTTCTTCCAAAATCTCAAGCTACTCTATTCCTATATATATTAAATTAAAGTATATTATATTGAGATTGATTTAGTCTTTTAGTCTATTTTTCTTTAAAAACTGACATATGTCATTCTTAAATTCCCTTCTTTTAAATATAATTTTTTAAGTTAATCGTGCATTTTTTTTATTTGTTAATCTATATCTTTATATTCTATTTAAATCAATTATACATGTATCTCTTTATAATTTTAAAGATTTTTTAATTTTTCTTTTAATTTATACTTTTTAAATTATATCTAAATTTAAAATACTCATTCTTCCTAGTTATTTGCATATTCCCAATAACTGATTCATCGGGCTAGTAGGCCTAGGTGTGCATGGCAACCATTTTATTCCCTGGCATTGTTTCTGAAAAGAAATAATTATTTTCTATTTCTGTGCCTTGGAACAGTTTCTGAGAAAAAAACGTGTTTGATAACATGTTCTATTTTTATTCCGAGAATGAGAATTTTGTTTGATAAGACATTTTATTTTTTATTCTGAGAATCAAAATTACGTATAAATCTATTTCTTTACTTTTTGTTTACAAATTTCATCACTGGTATAAAATAACGAATTGCAATAGATTTTAATTAAAATGACAACATTTCATATTTAAAAAAATTATCTAAAAATTTATAATATTTTATTGTATAATTTTTTTTACAACAAATGCTAAAAAAGTTATGGATTTGAAATATAGAGGAGATAAAAAACAATACTTTAATTGCCCCTTTAAGCGAAGCCCAACCCTACTAATTAGTTAGTCCACGTCCCATATGAAACAAATCAGAATTATAATAATGGGAAGATTCATATGCAATTATGCAGAATACTGGAAAGGTATCAGCAAAGCAAGGACAGAGAGAAAGAAGAGAAATGATGAGAAGGAAATGAACTCGCATTGAATGATTGTTCTAGAGGAGTATATACAGGAAATGTCACAATTAAATCATGGCTAAGTAAGAGACTGAATCAAGAACAAACTT